CCCCAAAACCCCAAAACCCCAAAACCCCTCTCTTCAAGATAAGCTTTGATTAAGTGAATAACTGATAAGATAAATAAAAATAATTATCAGTATGGGTAATTGTTCAGCCTGCTATTGCGATCCAAAGACAGAGTATGCATCAAACACTAACTTTGAAGTATGAAAACTATTTAATTTGTAAATTGAAAGTAGAATGCACCAATTATTGCTACCAGGATAGATAAATAAGATAATATGTCGCATTCTCAAATGACTCTTTAAACATGGAATAATGATACGATTGATACCTTCTAGCTCACTCAGCAAATCAAGAACTTGAACTAAAACTATGGACACCCTCTTATTGAATAGGATCACATCTAAAAGATAATAAGACTTTAAAGTTTAGTAAGAGCATTTATAGCAAAGAGAAATTATCAGGTTCAGAAGTTTATGAAGTAAAGTATCACTTTGAATACACGATATTTTACTCTATCAGAAGCTCAAGAGACCATCACCAAATGTAATTTTAATAATAAAGTTTACATAATTTTAGCCAAGCTTTAAATAATATAGAAAAGAGTAAGAAAAGTTCCATATGTCTATAAGAGCACTGGCAGTGTCTATGATGGTGAATGGCTAGGGAATTTCAGAGATGGATTTGGAATAATGACTTGGATAGATGGGGCATAGTATATCGGTAATTGGTCTTATAATAAAGCCTGTGGCAAAGGTTAATTTATTCATGCTGAAGGGGACATTTACGACGGTGAATGGTACGCTGATAAGGCTTAAGGCTATGGAGTTTACAAGCATGTCAATGGAGCACTTTATTAGGGGTAATGGAAAGAGGATTTGTAACACGGGCATGGCTATGAGAAATGGGTAGATGGAAGTTCTTACCTCGGAGGATATGTAGATGGCTTTAAATAAGGCATAGGATTCTATAAATGGAATGATGGTAGTGATTATGAAGGAGAATGGCATCAAAATAAAATCAATGGAGTTGTAATGATAATCAAAATAATATAATTACTTGTAGGGTACTTATACCTGGCTTGATGGTCGCAGATATGAAGGTCAATGGTCGAATAACAATATGCATGGAATAGGCTATTATAGATGGGGAGATGGTAGAACTTATGAAGGGGAATATAAAGATGATAAGAAGCATGGATTTGGAATTTATTAATGGTCTGATGGCAGAATATATATGGGATATTGGCAAAATGGAAAATAGCATGGACTCGGAACATTCAAGACTCAAACTGACCCATAGTTGAAATTTGGACTATGGGAGGATGGGAAAAGAATTCAATGGTTTGAAGATGAAATAACTATCAAAGAACTTATGAATAAGTAATATGATTATAGTGAACTGTACACTTTAGCATCTTCAATTGAAGTAGGATTTTTAATAGTATATTCATCTTATTCTAGGCTTCGAAATTATCTATTACAACATTTGAGTCCCCAGAAAATTTTCGTGAAAGATCGAATATCATTAAGCAGAGGTTGAGTTAAATTCAGAAGATAGTATAAAAGATGAAAGCTAAAATTACATCTTGAAAAGTTATTTAGTCAGCAGCGACTTAACTCACGAAAAATTTATACAATCCACTTGTATATTCAATTATGAAAGTTTTATTTTTTAACTTAATTGATTAATTGTCATATTAATAATTCAAATGGCCTCTATCACTTAATCACTTTGAGACAAACAGTTAGGATTGGATGTGCTGATTTAGCTCTTTTATTTTCCTCACCTCAGCCTCAATTCTTTCCCTTTCCTCACTGATTTTCTGTTTCTCATGCTCCATTCTATTAGTCATCTCATCAAATGATTTCTTTTCCAGCTCAAAGTCTTTGTACTACTATTACATTACTGACTTATTTTCATTAAGGAAATTCCTCATTTCATCTAACTCAGAGTCCTTGAGGATTTAGAATCTGTTGAAAGTAGAACTGATTTCATCAGGTGGAGGTATCTTAGCCATTTTAGTGATTGATTAGTTAAGCAATTAATGCTGTCCCTCAACTAAAGCGTCATAATTTCTAAGCAGTAGTTTTAACTGTTAAATGCTTGTAATGCCACTAAACTTGCTTGTCACATCATCATAGCTAGTGTCATTTTTCTCGTTAAACACACTAAGCTAGGCAACTTCCTTATCAATTTTCTCCATAAAGTCCTTAAGCTTTGTAAAATTATTTTGGAACTTGGCTATGATCTCCTGTCCTGACTCTTAGAATGGTAGATTAAATAGCTCCTCTCTTATTCTTTCAATTTCATTGCGAATGACTTCTTCGTTATCATAGTCAGGACCATTTGAAGACTAAGGGAATTCAGATCTATATCTTTTAAGATAAATTTCAGTTTTAATATCCACAATGTCAAATAACTCTCTTTACAGTTGCTTCAAACATTCTTTTAGCTAAGCGTTTTCATCGCAAAGCTTTCTTTGGATTTCTTCCTAATTCTTGGCTATCATAAGATTAAAATCACTATCGCCACCTATTCTACTGAATTTTATCTCATTATTAGGTAGAGGTGCATTCTCTTTATTTTCCATTTACCCATTGATTTAAACTTTATTTGCTTTTTGCCAAATGCTATTTCTGATTTGCTCTTTGAACTTTTCAATTTAAAGATCTCATTACTTCAATTCATGCTAGAATGCAGTCTGTTTATTCAAGAGCCTTTAGTTATCTTTCAGCATATTCTCCCTTTCAAGTGCAAATTTGTCCTTCTCTTGTCTAAATTTCTAATCTTGATTTTAGATCTGAATCTTGGCATCCTTAAGCTCACTCTATAGCTGCTCTATCTTTTGCTTAAGTCTATTATTCTAATCAACAAATTCCTGCTTATCATTTTCAAGTTTACTCCACTATTGAGAGATGATTAGTGATTAAGTTAATATTACCTTCTATCTAGCTTCTTATCTAAAGTCTAAATCAGCAACTCTTTGCTTAAGCATGTAAAATATTGAATTGATGCTTTCTTGAATATCCTCTGGCTTAGCTCTGAATAGATCACCAATTGCTGGCATGCCATAACTTTGCTAAGTCTAAAATTAATATGAATTAAAGCAATGTCCAACTTACAACTCTAATATTGTTAATATCATTCATCAATGAAGCTATATTTAGAGAGTCTTGCTCTTTTTAAGCAGACAAATGCTCGTCATTACCATTCAAGTATAGGTCTAAGTTGTTGAAGTCTAATCCTGCCTATATCGAGTTGATTGGTTAATTAAATGCTGATTGAAGTCAGTTTAATGAGTTTGATCTTCTTACCATTTTGATTTAAATTTAATTTCTTTGCAGTTATTTGAAAATCAATTATAATTTGAATTAATTATAAAAACAAACTTTTATTTAAAAATTACTTTAATCTCATAAAAGTTTTAAAGAGGAAATATAACTAATCGAAATGGCTAGCAATATTTATAAAAGATGGTCCTTGAAGTACACAAGACAAGTCATTCTATCAATTATATTTTTCGTAGCAGTGCTCACTATGGCTTTATTCATGCTTTCAGCTGGATTAAGATGTGTTGATGAATTTGGATGTCTCAGAGAACATTGTGACTTTGATAAATTCCGCACTGAATATTAATTGATGATCCGAACTTCGATGGCAAATAATCAAAATTGCAGAATTAAACTACCGGCTGAATGATTGAAAATCTAAAAGAAGTAAAAAGATTTTTAATGTGTAAATAGTGATTATATTAACTTAGAGTAGTTTTCTTTGATAGTTTCAATGATAAGTTGTTAATTAACTTCATTTATATAAATAATTTGAATTTTAAAATATAATATAATATGAAAGCAGGGCAATCATAAGTAACTGAGGACGCATTGTTCCACTTTAACACTATTAAAGATCTTTATTCCTAGAAAATAGACGAGCTAAATGAACTTAAAAAAATGATCTTCTCATAAAGTGACTAATAATTAGATTAGCAGCTCAGGGCAAAGCTAAGAATCACAATTGAAAGTCTACTTATTGATCTTAATGAGGAGGTTTTCGGAATATCAGAGGAATTAGCCAAATCATTTACATTTTAGAGGAATAAACACATGCTTGCTCAAAGGGCTAATGAATTTGAATAGAGATAGCAGCAGTTGTTTAAAAAGATTAAAGATACAGTTGAGAACAATCCTACTATAAAGACTTTGAGAAGGAACAAGAGAATAAAAGAATAGTCGCCTCCATAGAGAGATCTAAATACATTTGGAGCAACTGGGTCAGAGGAATTTGAATAAAGATAAAATTAATAAAAACCTGTTCCACATCCTAAGCATATTCACACAATGAGAGAGCCTTCTCCTTAATAAAAGTCTAGGAAAATTAAGATTGGATAATCAAGCAGTCAAAAGAATTTGTAAGAAGGAGGATATTAATCAGAAGGGAGACAGAGATAAGGTTCCATTCATTTGACCTAGCCATAGTATAACACTTAAAATATCTAAATTCCAATTCAACATCAAAGATAGTAAAAATTACCTAAGAAACAGAAATCTCCGATTCCCTTAAGAAGAAAAGATCAGTAACAGACATAGTAATAGATAACCTCTTCTTTTAATGAAGATCCTGTTATTTAGATGCTAAGGACTAGCAACAGTAGTTAAAGATTTAACAATTCAGCAAAGAGATAACTCTAGTTCTAAAGTGATAAGGAGTTGAGAAGAGTATTTGGATATACAAGTGATGGCGTAAAGAAAAACGAAAGTAAAAAGCATATAAAGAAGCTGGATGAGTTTGAAAGGTACCTGTCAAATAAGTAAACAGGAAAGCAAGCATCAGGAAGAAAAGCATCTTCTACTAGAAATAAGGAGAACTTTAAACCTAACTAAACTTTTGATGAATAAGAAAAATTCCATATAAATTAAACCACTCTTGAATTATAAAGTGAAGCCTTTCAAGTATTTGCATAGGATTTTGCTCATATGAAGAGCAAGATGATATAGATGTAAAGATAGATCAATAATAATGAGGAAAAAACTCAAAGTTTAGAGGAGCTATGCAATAAACTTAAGACTGATAATGTTAAGTTAGTGACAGATATGAGACTAATAGGTAAAGAACAAACAGAATTGATATAAAGAGTTCACTATTTAGAAAGGAAAAATGCTTAGTTATAATAAGAAAACCAGATATTTAGAAATATTCTTAGTAATGAGAGGACGGTTAAAGGATAAGAAACTAATATGCCAAGATAAGGGGGGCATTATAGAGATGAAAGTGCATCAAATATTTCTATTCATTCTGGAGGTGGTCACGATTTGAGGAAATAATCGCCTTTTTCTAGTTTCCTGAATAGACATAGGTCAATGAGCAATAATCAAATAAACCCTTAACCTGAGTTAAATAGTGGTGGTGCCTCTCTAAGGAATCTAAGATTTGCCAATGATATCTCAAATTAGGATATAAGAAATAAGGAATTCAATAAAAATGAACAGGTATTACCCTAGCATACGCTAAATTAAACTAGCACTTCAAAGTTGCTGAATTAAAGTTTTGAAAGAGAGAACCATCATAATTAAACACTGTAAAATACAAGGTAGCCATTAAATGAGCCTCCAAATTCAATACACAATACTCTAATGTCTGGTAGAGATGATTAGCAATAACAGCAATACAATAGTTAAAACAATTTTCCAAATAATAATTCATTTTTAAGACTTTAGCCTCAGATAAATAATTCAAGGCAAATAAGCGGGCCTTAGACAATGAAAGGGGATGGATTGGCATAGCATCCATCCTTTAGTTATTAAATGAGAAATTAAATGACACCAACCACTCCTGAAAGACTTCTTAATGTAACAAATCAACCAGTTGACGATACTCCCTCAAGGGCAAATGACTAATCTAGAAAAGAATTAACTGGCTATAATTCTCTAAACATGACTCAAAATAGTTTAAATAGAAATGAGAATTCTTTAGTAATTGAAAGGAACAGATCATTTGCACCATTAGCCAGACTTAATCAAAATTCCCAAAGCTCTAAAAAATTATTAGGATTAAATGAAACAACAGGCACTTAGAACAGAGAGCCTCTCTCAGACTGGGTTCTTGAAAGAATGAAAAAATGATCATATAACTTAAATGAAACTTTTACTATTTGAATAGAATTTTATTGTGCTAATTGAAAAATTCTTCTTAAAGGGGTTTTGGGGTTTTGGGGTTTTGGGGTTTTGGGG